CTGTTTGCATCATTCACGATTTTCGAGAAATCTATCTGGTTTGATGTGACCGATTTTCCCTTTCTTTTTCGGGATACAATTGGTCACGTTTACCCCAATCACGGGAATCAGGGCCAACCATTAACGAAGAAGAAGAATAATGTGTATTGTATAATTTACACAAAATGTATTGTAACAATATATTGTATAATTTATACAAAAAATTTTATTGCGATGGCTTCGTTTTCGAGTAGTACGAGTAAATATATAAATACGTAATAAAAATGTAAATATTAAATGAATATAGATGTAGTTTAACATTTAATACGCATTCGATATTAGAGATTTATGTTCCTAACCTAAAACTCGCTGTAAGGGGCTCTGCACAATAAAAGGAACAGAGAACAGAGAATAAGAATTTCAACCTATCAGAAATCATGTATTGTGGAATTTACAGTGCGTTTCCCACAATACATGTTTTCTGATAAGTTAAAATTCTTCTTCTCTGTTCTTTGTTCCCTGTTCCTTTTATAATTGTGCGAAGCCCCTAAAGCTGATTTTACAATGAGTCAGTAATCGGAAATCATAAATTGACGCTACCAAGTTGGATATATCAATTTTCAGCGTCAGACGAAGGCTATGCCCGGCTACGGTCCACGCGATGCTACGAATGCTTCGAAGCATTTTTTGATTGGTCAGGTAAAATTCTTTTTTCCGATTGGTCAAGTAAAAGTTTTGAAGCATTTGTAGCATTGATCAAGTGGATCGCACCCGAAAGGCACGGTCAACAAATGCTCTGAAGCGTCTTTTAATTGGTCAGTTTGTAAAATTTTTTCTTCTAATTGGTTCATCAAACGCTTCAAAGCATTTATAGCGAGACTTTGACCACAGTCGAAATCAGATACTAGCGACAAAATTAATACCACGTGATCACACACAAGCTGCTTTCCAAAGTCTTATGAAAGCACCAAGCCCGACAATTACACCAACTGGCCCCAATAAATTTGTCGGGGCCACTTTGTGTACATTTGTGCGGTGTACCGAATCCAGATGAACATGTGACACTAGCGAGAAACTGCACCATTCGATCAGCCGAACACACCAATTACACCGACACCCGAAATGTGCAGTCGGTGCGTCCCAATCGAAATCACTATGAGTGCAAAAACGAAATGAAAATTATCAAAACATGTTTTATTAACAATACAATAAAATATATTAGAGATAGTACGATTTAATCTGATTTTAATACATTTTTACGGCAATTGTGTATGATAGTTTTATGTGTACTAGTGCATCCCAGTCGAAATCGCTATTCATTCAGAGCTTGTACTTCGGTGTAAGGGGCTCCGCACAATAAAAGGAACAGGGAACAGAGAACAGAGAATAAGAATTTCAACCTATCAGAAATCATGTATTGTGGAATACAGAGTGTGTATTCCACAATAATTTCTGATATATAGGTTGAAATTCTTATTCTCTGTTCTCTGTTCCTTTTATTGTGCGGAGCCCCTAAGGCCGGAATCAGACCACGCATTGAAGAATGAGATTGAAGATTGAAAGATTGAAGTTTGACCAATCAGAACAAAAGGAACCAAAATTTCTTTGTCCTCATTGGTGAAATTTCAATCTTTAATTTTTAATCTCAATCTTCAATGCATAGTCTGATTCCGGCCGTATACATCATACTGCACCAAAGTACAAGCTCATTTTTGCTCCTCATTGTACAACGGTCTTTATATGCACTAGTGCACACTAGTGCATCCCAGTCGAAATCGCTATAAATAACATATAGTCAACTCTCCTCTTGTGACATCAGTTATGGACAAGAAATTACTTAAACTAGAAATTGAAACGCGGAAAGAGTTTTTATCTTTACATCCTACATCATTTTTAAGCATGAGGATAAAGGCAACGTCACAGTGGCTCTTGAGAAAATAACTTATGTTGAAAAAGTGAAAGAAATGCTTCAAGATAAGGAAACGTACGAAACAATCAAAAAAGATCCTACTAACAAACTTACGAAAAATCTTAGAACTTTGCTTGCAAGATGGAAGGAATGCAATTACATAGAAAACTTTCAATACAAACACTTGTTATGTAGCGATGGACCATTGCCGAGAGTCTATGTACTGCCGAAGATACACAAACCCAACTGCCCGTACAGAATCATTGTGTCGTCGATAGTTAGTCCTTTGTTAGCCTCATTGTTACACAACATAATATTTGAAGCAATCCCCAAAGCGGAGAGTTATATTAAAAACAGTTTTCAATTGGTTGTCAAACTGAAGGGATTGAACACATTGAAACAAATTATAAATTAATTTTACTTGATGTTGTGTCACTTTTTACAAAAAATCCAATTGAAATAGCCATAGATTGTGTAAAAGAAAACTGGAAATTTATTTCAAAAAAATGTTCTATATCTGTTACTGAGTTTCTGACGGCACAGTTAGGTTTATATTAGATTCGACCTATTTTCTTTTTGACAACACCATCTACCAACATGGTACAAACAAAACTTCGGCACACCCATGGGCTCTCCGCTGTCTCCCGTCATTGCTGACTTGGTATTGCAAAAATTAGAGAGAAATGCCTTGATGTTGTTTGATGATCATGTACTTTTTTATTATCGATTTGTTGACGATTTGTGTGCTGCGGTTCCTTCCTCCAAAATAGATTCATTTTTAGAAAGCTTTAATTCGTTCCATTCTCGTCTTCAATTTACGTTGGAAATAGGTAATGACTCACTAAACTTTTTAAACGTCACAATCAATATTATTGATAACCAACTAAATTTTGATTGGTATCACAAACCGACTTTTTCGGGGAAATTTCTAAATTTTTTTTCAAACCATCCTCTTTCACAAAAAAGAGGAGTTATCATTGATAGATCGAGCTCTTTTACTCTCGAACTCAGAATACCATACAAAAAATTTGATGATGATAATTGAAATATTATTATAGAATGACTACCCTCTTAATTTTATTTTTGAATCAATTATTAATAATAGAGTCAAATGCATTCTACGAAGGAAGACTGCACAATAATTTAGGAAGAGAAAGATGTATCATTAGTGTCTTCATCGTGGTTTACTGTACCTTTTATTCCATCTTTGACAAATAAATTCATAAAATTGTATAGAGACGACATCAAGGTGTTTTTCTATAGTTCGAACAAATCATTTTACTCGTATTTTTTTTTGTTTTCTTTTAATTTATTCTTTACTTGACTTTTCACTAGAACATCGGGAAATTTTAAACAACCGGTCATCCAGCCGTTTTGCAAGTAATTTCTCTCTACAAAACATTTCTCTGATTTTCATTAACATATTCATAATTTTATCTATTTCTTCGACTGCGTTTAACTAATATAACATCACCTGTTCATATACGACTTTCACATTTGAAGATGGCTCAATCATGAGATCGAACATGTAATGTAATACGTATATACATATATATATATATATATATATATAATTTTTAATTATTTATAGAATATTATATCAAATATACTTTTCGTTTGAGAGTTTTTGTGTTTTAAAAAATTTTTTTCATTATATTTAACTCTTTAGTGTTCTGTACATTCTTGATATTGTTATGTAAATTTAACTTATTATTACTCGGATTTTACTTCTAACACATTTCAGCTGAGAATTCAGAATTAATAACATGAGATCCAAAAGAGAACGCTAATGTTAAATATTCATGAAATATTGATAAAATGTTTCTTAAGTTCCAAAGTAACATTCCACTAATATTTTAGTATATCCTGAAATATTTTACAAAGTTTGTGAAAACGATATTCAAATGATTGGTAAAATATTCCATTTACATATTATTCAGAGGATATTCCACATATATTCCGAAAAATTATAATTCTCTCAGAAAAATATCATAGGTCCTGAATTAATTTTTAAATGAAATTAGACTGTCAAGAAACACATTTCATTTACTATATGAAATGGAATAAAAGACGCAGCATTTTGCCCGTGAAGGTGATTCTAAAAGAGTGAATAATGAATTATTTTCCATTGTACTTTTTGACGTTGCATGTATAATATTGACTATCTTTTATTTTATTATTTATTATATTTTAATCGTAATTGATCCTCTGTTGATTAATCTATTATTTATTTTCATTTTTATTGACGATGTATATCTATTATAGGGTGACTACATTTTTGCTATTAGCCCGAGTTTAAAACGTACAAAGTCATGCTTTCCATATAGCTTTGTAACTGTGTAACAACGATTTCTTAGAATGTATGAAATTTTTTCATTCTTAATCTTCAGCAGAAAATGCTGAATATAAATGTATGTTGGAATTGGCCGTAGAGTTTGAATTGAGTTTTTGTTCTAATTTCTATTTGTTGTTATTTATTGAAGATGACTTAAATTTGAACTGAAACGTCCGATCTATTTAATATTGTGCAACTTTGAATTTGTACAGATCATGACTTTATGAATTATTAAAATATTATTGTTATAGAACTGCACACTACTTATTACGCTGACTTCCAACATTCCTTTTTAATTTTGATTATTATTTGATTTTAGAATGCTAGAACTACTTGGTACTTTTACATGGGGTAAATTATTACCTTTCGCATTACCTCCCGCATAAATTATTTTTTTGGACTCTTTAATTCCTTGTTTTGATAATATTGATTAAAATACAATTCGGAAAATCTTTTTATGTTAAAATTCGCTTCCATTAAAACGAATTTCATCTGTCTAATTGTAAGTCGCTTCCAAGATTAGGAAACCACGGTTTGACTGACCCTGAAGATCAATCGACCTTCGTAGCTGGTCATGATCGGCGATTGCATAGTAAACAGACGCGGAATGCGTCGCAGGACGTCGACGACGCGGAGAGGAGGAGCGGGCGGTGGAGGTCTCGACGAGCGTGTCGCCGAAGGCGTCCTAGAGGGAAGAGGATTTTTCTATTTCGGGCTCGTGTCTCTCGATGACGTCACACGGACGAAAATATCGTACGGTTAGGGAGGTGCAGTCCGCCTGTTGCGCGTCCAGGTCTCGATCTTTCCCGGACTCGCGCAAAAATTCTCGACCCCGTCGCGACCCCGCAGCAGTCTATCTAGTTGAACGAGAGAACGAGAGAAAAAGAAACGCGGCAATCGGTTGCTGTCGCGGTATCGCACATCGACGATTGCTCATCTTCGAGGATCCTCCTTCGAGAAGGTGTAGCCGCGATTGGAAACTCCTGATCCCAAGACTCGCGAGAAGTGATCGCACCAGAGATCTCGCCCACGCGTGATCCCCACCTATCGCGGTCCTATCGGTCCAGGAATCTGTCAGTGGCGCATCGTGTACGTCCTCGGGAGGATCGTTTTTGGAGAACAGCGTGAACGAGTCGGAACCACACGAGCGAGCGTGATCACATCGCCGTCCGTTCATCGAACGAGATCAACGTATCGCGACAGCGTTGTTAAGGGTAGGAGTGAGATCATCCCCCACTGCAGTGAGAGAGGACGCTGAGCAGGATGCCCGGCGCCGGTGGTCAGCCACCGCAAAGGACCACTTTTCGACCGCCGTGGGTTAAGGATGGCCCGAATCCGTTGCCCATGCCCACCGCACCCTGGACCCTCAATTCCCGTAGAGACTCTAAGCCGAAAACTGAGGAAGTTCCGGCCTTCGCCCAAGTCACCTTGAAGGTTGGTAGAAAATTTCAAAGGGTTGATGATGTGATATCTTTTTTCTACGATAATCGCAAGATAGGCTGCTTCCAGAGAAATTCTCGTCTCTTTTCAGAAACTTTTGGAACTTTTGTTGTAAAATGTCGAATCTAATAGCTCTACGAAATATTTTATTATTTTGCGATGGATTTCTGGAGTTAAACTTTTTCGAGTCTTCGTAAAATGGTAAAAAAAAAAATTGAAAGAATAGAAAGTAGGGAATTGTTCATAATAATTTTATAATCAAATAATAGTATTTTAAAATAAGTTAAATATTGGCTGATTCATTTCATTTATGTATAAATTATGAAATGAAAATTAATTGAAGTTACCCTGCCGCATTTGAAGAAAGCAACAGATTTATTCAAACACGAAAATCGCAGCTTCCATTTGCTCTGAAATTGAGTAACATGTTCTGTTTCTAACAAAGATAGGAGTTGTATATGCAACTTTCGCAGTCTTTTTCCATTCAGGTATTAGGTTTCAAAGTCAGCGGACTTTGCTGTACTAACCATGATATTAATAGCTGGCGTGGGTGTCTTGCAACGAGTAAGCGTGATAAACATTTCGGGTGGCGCGAAGTTCCACACGATCTGTTGTATGCAAACAGTACACTTTGATAGTCTATCCCAATTTATAAACTCAACAGTACTTCATAAGTTCTTTGTAGAAAAATTTATGATAAACTAAACATCTTCGTCATTACAGGGAAAGTGATCAAATTCAATATTAATTTCCGAAATGCGATTCTCTATCAAATAATTAAATTAATGCAAGTTATAGATTATGCAAAAACGCCTTTGCAGTCTGCTCTGAAATTATACATATAATCTTTGAAGATATTTTATGAGAATAACTTGATGTGGAAATTACACACGTCTAAGATTACAGTATTTATTAATTTTTTACTGCGCATTCATTTAAAAAAATCCTCAGGATTACTTTCAGTCTCCTGGCGACAGGCCACGTAAAATCGCAAGGTTGTTATCCAATACGCAATCCGCGCGAAATATGCGACGCGCAAAATTATGATTATGTGTGAAGATTTTGCGCAGCCTAATATTATGTTACTATATCGCTCTGACCATTTTGAATACGTTTTAAATTATGAAAAGAACAGATTAAATTTAGATAGCAGATTCATCATTAGTCGAGATTTGTTTTATTATATTAATTGTATAATTCTTTATTAAATTTTATTATCACGCGAATAAAGATAAAGAATTATTTACGAGTTTTCAGATTATCTTTTTCAATTCTTGATTTAATAATTTTTTATTTAATTTTACATCGTCTTTCCATACAGTTGTTTATCATTTATACGTGCTCGTTAATATATTATTTAGAAGTTTAATAATGGTAATTATAAATTTAAAATATGAGCATTTATTAATCGCAATTGATCGGATCATTGTAGTTACAACGATAAAATAAAAAACATTATTCGAAAAATTGCGGAGCATCACAAGTAGTTCATGGCCGTTCGTTAAAGTCTTCAGACATGCTGCACGTGTTTATCAATTGTGATTTCGTTTTCCTGACGCGAAGGAAAGTGAGATCCGTCGTACGCGTGTCCGCATATAAGCCTCTGGGTCACGATTATTTAAAGAACACGCGTTGCTATTTCAAATGGCTTACCAGCTGTGTCTTCCGCCAGTTTCTTAACGCGTTTATGCCGCGATTTCACTTGGAACATACTCGAAAATCGCGAACGCAACGTCACAGATATATGTTGAAAACGGATTTCGTGGATGAGTAATGTTTTTGGCTGAACAATTTTCACGGAAACACAAGAGAAGATAATAGATTCCTAGTCGAGAGTGGCCTAAAAATTTAAAGGCGATTTTATAAGAGCTTTATTTTAAAAGATGGAACTTTGCGTCGATGACGATCGAATCATAACGTGACATCTCGAACTTCAATGTGAATTATTTAAAGCCGGTAGAATGAACTCTCTTCGAGAGACTTGCCAAGAAAGTTCTTTCGATCTCTTTCTGTCTCTTTCTTTCTCTATTTCTTTCTCTCTGTTTTAAACAATCAAGAGAAGAGGAATGGAGGGAGGACGAGTCTTTCTTTTTTTTATTTTCAATCGCGACTACTTTATGTGAGACGTACGACGATTATTCTTTCGTATTCTTCCGACGTGACGCGATAAAAAATCCTAGAAAAAAACAAATGGAAATAAACAGCGAGAGAAATTGATTTGCGTCGCGAGAATGTGACAAAAACGTAAACTGTGAAAAGACGTTGGTGCCAGTAACCGTAAAAACGTAAACTTGATTCGTTGAATCGTGGAATTCTTGTCGGTGGAATGAAAATTGAAACTATTTTACATAAAAAGTTTTACTAATTTAATAATAAATGTTGAAATAGGATATGAAAAAAAAAGAATATAATGAATAAAATATATAATAATTTTGTAAAAAATATATACAATATAAATAAGTATAATTATTATCAAATACAGATTATATATGCATATAATTAGATTTTATCTGCACATAAATATTTTTAAGATTAATAAATATTTTGGTACTATTGACTAAATAAATTAAAATAAATATTCTTATTCTATTTGTATTATTAAGATGCTATAATTAACCAAATGTTCCTCCTTCTCGGTCTAATAGAGTGTGCCGAAACCCGCCGAACCGGCAACACCTTCGTCAGACGGATTACCGCGTAAACAAAGCAAAATTACGATAATACCGAAGCAGCCGAATGAAAAGATCAATGAAAAAATTCCGAGTGGTCGACCGCTGCCAACGAAGCCGCGCGAGAATGGACGACAGGAGCCAAATTCGAGACCGCAACTCGAACGACAGATCCGTATCGAGAAATCTCGATCACGAGGTGACATTATACCACTCTCAAAGAGTGAGAGCACCACAGGTACGAAAGGCGATTATCGCCATTTCTTCCCGTAGATTCTGTCATTTACAGTGTCCAACGTTTAATCCTTTCAGATTGTCAGTGAACTTTCTTTACGCGATCAGTGGAACAAAATCGGAATGGATTCCGATCGGAATTATTCAATTATTTCCTAGATTTCTATTGTGTTTTCTAGGGAAAACGGAATAATTCTGATCGGAACCCATTCTGACTTTGTTCTATGATAGGTGTCCACATAGATAATAGAATAGATCAAATATTGTAGAGACGTAGAATTAAAATAACTTTACGAGTAAATGAAGCAAAGCGAGACTTATTTAATAATTTTCGTTATGAACAAATGAATCAGATGATACTGACGTACACGAATAAGAAATATATAACAATATAAATTTATAAAACGTCACGAATACTGAAAGAATTAAACCTGACATATTCGTAAAGTATCCTTTTTTTATTTCAATGAAATTTGAGGTATATTTGCGGAATAAGTAAAACTAAAGAAAACACACACACACACACACACATAGGAACGGCGAAGTAAAATTTTTCAATGTATGAAGTTCCCGAAGATAGATTGAGGGAGAGGAACGGAGGAGGAAGGGGATAAATATATTTCTTCGTACATATCTTTTCTACATGGCAAAAGTAGCTTTAACAAAATTATTAATGAGCTTCTCCATATTTAATACCACCATTTCTCGATAAATGTACAATGTCGCAATATGATTTAAACGTTTTTGTTTCATTGTCGATCGGAGATAACTTTTTAAATGTCTTAAATAAGGAAATGATCTTTCATTCGAACAAGTTAATATAAGAATACTTAAAAGAACGCGCGAATAAATTTTACGTATTCTGGTACAAGATCTCTGATCTCGAGATTATCATGTAAAGTTGTACTACATTCTTCAAGCAATGTAGTGGCATTTTTCGTATGTTTGTAATTTCTAAATTACAATTTCTAATTTCTAAATTTCTCCCAGACCAAATATCATACAGATATGAAATTCAGTGTATGGAGTACTCCATCCAACCATACTGGAGTCGCCACCCATGCACACACACATCAATCTCTTAATTCTATCTATTATATAAAATGGAAGATATACTTACACACTCTGTTTTATACACAAATTATGACTTTTATGCATTGTATATTAGACTTTTTTAAGTAACGAGAACCTTTTATGTCAAGGTGCACCAACTTTATCGAAGAGCTCGTCGCGAGCGAACTTTCCACCACCACCACCCCCGCGGCCGCCACCACCACCACCCAGTCGTACGATTCTCAAGGACTTACCACCTCTCAACGAGGATCAAATGCAGAAGTTGGATATATTGAAATCCAGGCCGAGGAAACGGCCAGATTGGGCCAGCATGATGAAGGAAGTCGAGAGTGGCAAGAGGCTCAAACACGTCAAGTGTAACGACCGGAGTGCGCCTTTGATCGAAAGGGTGAACAAAGTCACGGCCGATCCAGCAGGTGATCGTCGAACCCTCTTCGATCCTCGTCTGGTGCCTACGGGGCCGTATCTTCCCCCCTTATAAAAAGTGTCCTCTCCTTAAGAAGAAAAATCGTCGTAGAGAGAAAGACTGTGTTTTGAGGAGCTTCTCTTCCTCCGTTTTTTTTTTCGTGCGATTATTTGAAGAAACGTTGGCAACATAATACAATCAATTGGATACACAAGCAGAAATGTCGATTAACATAACACGTTCTGCCGCGTTTCATTTGTAGCGCAAATAGCCAGCAGTATTGTTCTGTTGTTATCGTCCGCTCCTTTCAATGTTCCCGAACTACCCTCGTCGATAGATGAGCCACCGTTTATCCATTGTTAAACTGTTGGACTAATTAAACTGTTAATTGATTATTGTTGAATTAACTGGTGTCTTCATGTTTGTCAATGGGTTTACCAATATTCCGCTCTCCCTTTTTTCTGCTGTCGTATAAATGAGCAGAATTTTTCGCTCTCTTTAACGTCCTCGACGAGAAATGAGAACGTCATTCAGAGACGGGTGTACTCATCGTACTTATTAAAAATGTATGTCGATGCGTTAAATATCAATTAATAGTTTTCATAAAATTTCACATGACGCGTCTGTCAGGCTGAGCAGTGTTCTGTAGAACACTTCTTATTTATTATCCTTTAGTCACAAATAAATTTCAAAAAAAATAAGGTAACAATTATTATCAGTATTCAGAATTAAACATCTAACGATTCAGATTTTAAGACAAAAAACATGATTTTACAATTTACATATATTTTTAACACTGTCTTTTTTATAAGTTCTAATATATATATAATATAATATAAAATAATGTAAAACTATATTTTTATATTGTGTTACGAAAATGTATATTTTTTGTTGCTACACAAAAGATGTTGCGATGGTATATTAAATATTTTGTGTTTATAAAGCACTTTGTATTTTTTCTTAAAAGGCAATGGAGAGCCAAGAAAATATTTATGTATTTTTGTGCTGATCGATTGTCTCTCTCTGCTAGGCAAGGCCCACTTCGTATTCGAATCAGAAAAGTCGAATATGCACAATCAGCTGCTGAAACAGATTCAACAGGGCGTGAAACTCAAGACTGTGAAGACGAATGACCGCTCAAAACCAATGCTGGAGGGACTAAGAAAATTCCGACGACAAATGACCATTGAGGAGCAAATTCAAAAGGCTGAAGAGGCGCCCGAATTAGAAGAAGTTATTCAAGATGAAATGGATGATATTGATGCTGTTAGAGATGATTTGCAAAGCACTAAGCAGATGCTCGCGATGGAACTTAGAAATAAAGAAACCTTAGACCGGGACAATAAGCGATTGCAGGTAATTGGACTGAAACTTGATATTTGGTATTTTAGAAAAAGCTTTCAATAAAATTTGTATTTTACTTTATCCAATCCTACTTAGGATCCTATTTCATAATCTTACCTAAATAAAGCAAATTAATATTGACCTATTCGGATGAGGAAGAAATCGAAGGGTTAAAGAAATAGTTAAAGATCACTTTTTATAAAATAATTCCATGTGCAGGCAAGAATTTTGAATCTCGAGGCAGAAGTAGAACGTATGAAGTTACAAAAGAATACCCAAGAAAACAAACAACAAGATGAGAAACTCACGGAATCTTTGAAGCAGGAAGTGCAGCAAGCGAGAAAAGATGCAGAAAAAGCGGAGAAAGAATCAGTCATCGCTGTCGGGGAAAGAGATAAGGCTAGAAACGAATTAGAAGAAATGAGAAGAATGTATGCAGCGTTAGAAAAGCGTATGAAAGCTGGTGCGTGATTAAGAATGTCCGCTTTGCTAAAAGCTAGTGATTTATGAACTGCGTACTCATCTGAACACTCTATAATACCTATAATCGCCTTGAATTAATCGCTTTTCAAGCAAAATCTTATTATCAATTTCACGCAAATCATATCTATTCTTATGCTTTATATTAATGCTTCCCAATAAACATCAACCAACAATAATATAATTATTGTTAGTTATAATTTTCCACTTAACAGTATAACTGTAATATAACACATTTCTACGTAATAATTATGTTGTTAAATGGAAAATTGTATCATTAACTAACAGTTATGTTACTGTTAGTTGCTAGAGATAAACTAATATTAATCATATTTCTTTGCTTCGCTTTCCTTTGCTTTGCTTATCAGAAGAAGAGCTTACGCCAATTGAAGTTGAGCCGATAGTGGAGTTAGCTGAGGATTGGGAAGACCTAGGATGGTACAATGTTGCAGGAATGGCACTGGCTGGTTGTCCAAGCGCGAAGGACGTAGCCAAGATTGCGTCACAAAAGAGTATAGACAAACAGGATGTTCGCAGCGCGAGCGAAGAGGAAGAGGAGAGCACAGAAGAAGAAGAGGAAGATGAGGATCCTAAAGTCGGAGCAGAGAGACGTGCGCAAAGAGAGATCAAGCTTCTCACTTCGAAAATTAAGAATTTTATGTAAGTGTGGCAAAGATTCATACAAATCACAGTGAGTGATCGTATCTATACATTAAATAATATATATATAAAATTATATACTAAATTATCTATAAATAGAGATAAAGCTGCGAATGCCAGGAAAGAGAGACACGCGCTAAAGGAGCAGATCAAACAGCAGCAGAAATTATTGATGGAAGAAAAGAAGAAGTACAAGCAGTTGCAGAAACAAGTGGACAAGATGGCGAAACTGATGGGAGATACCGACGACGAAGAAGAAGAAGTAGAAGAAGAGGAAGAAGAGGAAGAGACGGAGTCCGAGGAAGAGTCAGAGTCTGAAGAATCAGAGGAAGACGAGTCCGAGTCTGATGACGATCAAGCACCTATCGACAAGCGCAAAAACAATTTGCAAGTGAGTTGCGGACGAAAATATCACGATTGAACTTTTGAATTGCGTTCCTGAACATCTATTTCTTTTTCAGAAACGTGTAACGAAACACGAGGGACGGCTGGCAGCCTTGAAAAAGGGCAACTACTTGTTGAAAGCGCAGGTAGACAGGATCAAGGACAATTTAATGAAGCAACGAGAAGATAGCCTCACCCTACAGGAGGATCTTGATTCTGTCTTAGCCGAACTAGGTTAGACTAACAAACAGCCTAAGCAAAGAATATTTCCAAAGAATGTATCGTATGCAAATGCACATATTGAAATATAGACAATTGTATGTTACACACATAATATTTTTTAATAAATTATTATTATTGACCGAACGCGGATATTCTCGTAACAGCTTACTAAAGAAGCGAATTTCTTCGGTGAAATAATAACTCTACGTATGATGTTCTAAGTAAGAATTCAAGATGTAAATATTCAAGCCAAGGACTTGAAACTATTTCCTGGCGCTTTGAATATCGATTGAATGAACGAGTTTGATTTTTTCAATTGTTAAACACGAATTTGCTGCTAATAAAGTGAAATAAAATATATGTATATCTAACAAATGCACTTCGCTATCGCAATAAAACTATTATTGTTTTATTAGCGGAATAAATGGCGTATTTATAATGAAATAATTTATTGCTTCGACAAAATATTTAGCAAATAAAGATTTGTGTTTTTAGGAAATATTTCTGTTCACATAACTAACGGAAGTTGATACGAAAATATGCTGTACTAGCATATTTTTCTTCCGTATAGGGCATCGTAAACTATACAAACTATACGAAGTATTAGAAACATGTTATTCTATATGTTACATTTTTATCTTTACGTATTTTAAGAAATGCTTTTTTTATTTCAGAGAAAATTTTATCCATGTTGGATGACTCTGAGTAGCTCTTTAAATACACAATCACAAGTAATCGACCTTAATAGATTTTTGCGTTACATTTTGTTTTTCTCCCTTCATTTTTTCTCTTCCTTTTTATCTTTTATTACACGTTATTTTTCTTTTGAAATGGAATATAAGTATTACGAATATAACTTCTACATAAATCAAGTATTGACTATTGATTTAATTTTAACTAAGCTAAATGAAGATAATATCTATAAATTTTCAAATAAAAAATTATCTGACATATGTCACAAATTCGATAGTTTCAGAGAAAACGTGAGATATATATTTATACTTTTGTTTAGAAAATTCTTTTGTGAAAACAAAACTAATCGGACAAGTTATTTCTGGTAATATAAATTCTTTCTTGAAACTTGAAATTCTTTCGAGCAAAAAGTTCTATTCTATTTTAAACTATAAAATTTAAATTTAAATTGAACGAGAGGGAAAAATTGATCGCCTTTTACAAATCAAAATTATATTTGGGAATCAGAGATCGCTATGGTTGTCTATGAATTACATATATTATACAATGTTTTATATCGTGGCGATTTCGTTCTTATTTTAAATTACTGCACAAAAAATTTAATTATATAAAGAAAAAAAAATATTTTATATAAGAACGATTTTCGCTCGCGACAATGTTTTCAGCGCAAAGATAGCGACACGCAAAACTCGTAAGAATGGTGTTTGCTACCTTCTTTAAAATATTATGAACGGTATGATCGCAACGAATTCCGCTGAACACACTGGAATACAATAAAGAAAATAGACAATTTCACGAATGCACGATGGCACTTGAGTCAGTATCTAATTCATTTATCATTTTTGTCTTTACATAAAATCTTATATAGAATACTTAAAAAAGGGATGGAAAAGAAAAAGAAGTATAACTGAAATGTGCATATATATAAAAAGCAAATATATATACATTGCTTGCATAGAACATCACGAGATGAATTCAGATCAAAAATACAAATTCAAAGCATGTACATGCTATCTTCGATTATCACGTAAAATCACCGAACTAGTGTTACAGTGGTTTTTGGTAAATATTTTTTGACGCATGCTGCGAATAAGTGTATATACGTGTATGTGTATAATTACCGACATCATTTTTGCTATGAATTCTCGGGCAAGATCCGTTCAAACACTCGTGCAAAGGAAATACTTATTTTCGAGTACTTTCTATCTTCACAACTGTGAACAATACTGTTTCTGATGTGAACAATGATTCGACAGAATTCTTACATTTATTTTTGTAAATTTTTTTCTTTAGTTCCTTTGCAATCTGGTGTTACATAACATTAAATAAAGAAAAACAATGGAATATTAATGAATTATTAATATCTTTATGAAATATTTAAACTACAAAAGAGAAAAAGATAATAACCCAAGAAATTTTATCATTATTTTGCACATTTGCATATTTATTTGCAAAGTTTTGAGATGTAATTAAGCACAATGAATTTAGTGCAAAATAAATTCGAATGCATTTACATATATATATATACATATCTGTAGTTTATGTGGCTTATGTATATGTAGACACGAGAAATATTCGAAATTAATGAACGTCCTTTTGATGACAAGTTAGAAGTTAATTTTCCAAAATAAACTTAAAATGTTAGATAAAGCATAGAAATAATAAACTGTTCTTCATTTTAAGAGTTTAATAAAATTTGAATTTAAGCTTTACTTACAAAGAGATATAAAAAAATTACAAAATTACAATAAATACTACTATTTCCTCCGATATTGTTGTAAAGAAAAAATGTGAATAAATCAAAGCATTTATTTCGAAATGATATTCAACGGAAACATAAACATGATATATTTATGTAAATCACGCGATCAAATAAGTAAATATTTACAATAAGAAAAAAGAAAATAATATAAGAAATCAAAGTTGTGAAGAAATCGTTATTGTTATAAAATTGTATTTGGTCTTCATATCAATAAAAGTAAGTGTTATCCGAACAGAAATTCTATACTATCATGTCCTTTCTGTTACATTATAAGGTTTGTGTTGTGACATTGCCTAGAGAGTTTCTCGTGTAAAATAAATAGTCGCTGATCGTAGCATGTATTGTTATGGCTTTAATTCTTTGCAAACGATGATTCTTACGCGATGATAACCGGATTGCACTGAACATTAGTTCGCGTGTAAGCGCCATGCTTTTTCACGTGTCCATAAAATCGGTTTTAACTTTCTTCTTCTCCTCCACCAGCTTAACGTCCGTTACATGCAAATTATGTTCGCTCTTAGCAGCAAATTTGATGACAGCTTGCGTTGATACTTGGGTTGTGTGTCGCAGATCCAGCCGTTTTAATGCCTTACATTTCGCTAGATGATCGAGAGTCGTTTCAGTGAGCAACTTGCAATTTGCTAGGTTTAGCGACGCCAGATTTGATAGCGACGTCAAATGCGCTACTCCGGAGTCGGTGAGCCTGCCAATCGAGGAGAGGTCTAAAGTTTCAAGATCCGATAATTGCTGGACTATATATCTCACTCCTCGATCAGTGAGATCGCATCCGGCTAAAGATAAATTCTTGAGATGTTTTAATCGTGATGTTTTATCAATAATGCCAGGCCTTGAATCCGTTGGTGAATCCAGGATTTCTTGCAAAACAGTGTCATTCAAAGAGGTAACATAATTCAGATTTAGCTTTTCTAGAGGCGGACAGCTGCATCTTTTCAGGGCACGAACACCGGCCCAGGTACAGCCTTGAAGAGACAATGTCCGTAACTGCGGTAACCTTTCCAACAGCCAAGCTAATTGCATCTTATTGATGTTGGTCCAGTCCAGCAAAAGACACTCGGGTTGTCGGCGGACGATAACCGTCAAGTGTACAGAACGAAGGCTGTAGTGCGACATGTCGAGTTTCTTCCAAAGACTGAAATCTGTAGTGTATCTTGCCCAGGTACGGCAAACCAAGGCACAATTAAGCAGATCCTTTATACCGAGGAATCTGAATACCGCAAGCACTGTTATTTTGTTGTATACCAAATTCTGTTCGTTTTCGCCGTCAGTCTCTTGAATAGGTGGTGGCGGGGCTGGCCTAACCACTACATGCGGCCTTACTAAAGATCTGCTGCTCGAGGCAATCAACTGCATAGCTAACTGGGTACGCTGCTGAGTCATTCTCTGTTCACCTTCGGCTGGTTCTCCGGGCGAATCGTTCCACGCCTGAGGAAAATAAAGCACGCGGAATGTATACAGCAACGCTCTATACAACGCGGCTTATGCTTATCTGGAGATTCAATCGTGAAAATATGTAAAAATTATTCTAGTGCAGACATAAAGAGTGTTTTTCATTTGATGACATAAATCCACACAAACCAACAAGTGTCTTTGTTATTCTCTGAATGTCAAGAAAGATAGAATGTTTGTGTTGACATGTGCCACTAAACGGAAAGCACCCAAAATTATTTTATAATTTCTATATAAAAGAATTTACATACATCGTTAGGATCAAGCCTCGATTGTTTACTCGGTGTCATAGCCCGTTCAGAATCTGTCGTCGGCGCTGAGGAAGCCGCACTGGATATTGATAGTTTTCGCGTGCGACCCCTTGCGTGACGCGGCCGACAATCCAAGTTCCGACCTCGCTCAAAACACTCTGGACACTCCCAACTATTCGGTAAATCATCATTGACAGTTATCTCCTTGGAGTTCAAGCCTATACACTCCGGATGTACAATGTCGAAGCAGATTGAACATTCCATTAAAGTAGATGGTGTTGTGGGGAACGATTTACCTGCAATTATTTAAACATTCGATTTATAGGAAGAAAGGGATGTGAGGTAAGACAATAAAATTTCAAAAATGATGTTGTTCTGACAAAGTGACAACACTGTAAACTGTTACTTTCTATCATTGTGAAGCTTGAAGCCCCCTCTACACCGTTAAAAATGTCATGAAATATACTTTTAGGCTGCGTTCGGAAACATCACCCGAGTGCCTCTGTGTATCGTTTTATCCTTGTTGTTCACCCAATGTTAAATAAGGATAAGGTGATACACAGACCTAGTCAGAAATGATAATGGAATCGACATTTAATCGACATCGATTTGATGCTTTCGACGTCGAATGACATCAATTAAATGTCGATTCCATTATCATTTCTGACTGAGGTGGCACCCGGGTGATGTTTCCGAACGCAGCCTTAATATACTTTTAAGTTATACAATTTGAACTGAATTTCATGACATTACAATAAATTTAATATTGTATTTATAACTAAAAAGTATATTTGTGTAGGTGTACATGAAATTTAATGTATTTTTTTCATAAAATTTTATGAAATTTAATGTACATATTCATTATATTGAAGTAACTACTGTAACTTAATTTTTAATGAAATCATTCATTACTTTTAATTTCGTTGATAATCACGAGCTATATTTACATGTAAAGAAAGCATTTCTAACAGTGTATCTGCATGCAAAGAATAAACGTTGTCAATTGTTTCAGTCATTGCACAAGTTGGTTCATATAAAGGTGTGTTTATATTTCATGTTACAGAAAAAATGAAATGCGCACATATACACAATTTACATATATAATTTAAATCATATGAAGACTTACAATATAAAAATTGTTTAATTTACCAATATAAAATTATTCTGTAATAATAATTATTATAATATAATAAAATACAAAAGTTATTATAATATAGTAAAGAAAATATTTTTATAATAAATAAAAAACTTTATATGATTTAGAAACATCTATTTAAAAAAAAAAGATATTTATAGCAAATTACACATACCCGTTAATGGTGCAGGTGGTTGTTTCCAACCATCTAAACGACAGACTTTACAGGATGATGTGACGGGAAGCATAGGTCTAAGACATTGACGCATGAGGCATGTTTGTTTCGCGCGACCACTGCCTCCGAATTTGACCATGTCTTGACAAAATACGCACTCCCGACAGTCCTGTCTAGTGCAAGCTTCACACTTCTTACATCTAGTGCGTCTCCTACGTGGAAATGCTCTTTCGGACTTGTCCGAATGTCTTTGCGATTTTACAAAACCTTTTCGCACTACTCTCAAGCGTTCCTGAAAAAGAAAGTAAGACAAAGCAAATTAAATAAGAGGCATTACTTGTTTCAATCAAGTTTCGATTAAATTTTGATTTAATATAGTGAAAGATAGATACCCTGTCAACAATGGTTAAGGGTGGTGGTGGAGGTAACACAGGATTGCCTGTCACAGCCGCTTCTGGATTATCGTGTCTGTGCTGCTCTACCAAACATCGAACATCGTGAATAAGAGCGACTGGATCACGCATTAGTTCCGGAACGTTCTTCTTAGTTGACGGCAATGAATGCAGATACATTACTATAGATTTCAAGCCATGCAATTCGAAATCCGTTACATGTACATGCTGATGGTGCTGCGGGACTAAGTGCTGTCGCTGTGATTCAGATATATCCAAATGACTTCTACCCAACAGCACATGCACATATCTTTCGAGGACATACCTGTGAAAATACATAAAGCTTTACAATACACAAGACAACATGTAGATCGTACTTAATAATAATATAAAATGCATTATTTATTCTTACCACAACATTTCTGTGAAGAATGGATATCGAAATTTCTGTGGTACTTTTGTATGCTCCTCTACTTGTGCCACTTTCAATTGCATTTCTATACCGAAACTATGAAGAAAATTTCCGCCAAAGACTAAAGAATCCTGAGGAGTATATACCGCATGTATCCAACCAGTCGGTATAAATAGGGTCATACCAGCCGTTAGACTTATCCTGCCACATTTGTCTACCATATCACCAAAGAATACATCTGATTGTTTGCCACTCAGTACCCATTCTTGATAGAGGGTCAAGTTTTTTTCAGTGGGTGGAATTAACCAAAAGATTTTGCCACCATGCAGAATATGATACCACACGCTTGTACCACCAAAATCAACATGAAAGTCAGTATAACAACCTTTTACTGACATTAAGCAGTACTTCTGTACTTTTGGATACATCATATCTTCTAAAAGGTTCGTAGATTCCACCTGAGATTCCTTCAGATGCCTTGGCCATACTACGTCTACCCAATCTACTTGTCGCACTAGTGCAGGCGATTGTACGTAATTCTCTAACTTGGTATGACTAAATTCTAATGAGATCACATTCAACAAGCGTTCCTTGTTAGGATCTTCGTAATACTTTTGCCATTCTTTCATAGTCATATCTTCATTCTTCTGAGTATTAACATCCATAACGTCCAGTACTCTCTTAGAACCTGTTGTACAAATATTATTAACGTCTACCGAACACTGTCTTTCTCACTCATATTTGAGACTTACCAACGCAAGTTCTGACATCGTTGACGGAGAAGTTGGAGCTGGGTACTCGCAAGCCTAGTCCGGACTTATCCCTGAACAGCAGTGGTATCTGCAGACCATGCTTCTGCAGGTATGTTAGATTCAGCTCCGGTCCGGTCATCTCGCGAAAGAGGCCACTGAAATTGCTCAGGTCATACCTCTTGGCCTCAATCTTCTCGTCAAGTTGAAAAGTCCTGCGACCCTCAATTTCTTCATCGCCTATGGTCCAGTCGTCCGTATACAACTTCCTGGTTCGCTCGCGCTGTAAGATGATACACGTGTAATGAGATAACACGTGGACCATACCGCTCGAGGATTACTCGACGCGGCATCAACGTCGGCGTCGACGTCGTCGTCGACGACGATGACGTCCAGCCGGATTCGCGCGTGCTCTTTGTTTACCAATTGGCGCCTCTTTGGCAGCGGTGCGGAGTCGTCGGCCATTGCGGACATGCAGTTAGAAACGTATCACCGGAATCTCATCGGGGTACTCGAGTGTCACTACGACGAAGGCAAGAGGAATTCACGATTTACGTTAGCACAATTGTATGCGATACGATTTTGTTATGTATTATTTACATGTTAATCGCAACGCGTCGGTAACGCCGCGCGAAGCACGTTCCTCATCCGTGTATACCTTCACTGAGCGACATACGCCATTTTCTTGCCGGCCAGTGCTGCCAACTTCTCCGCCCTTCCCCTCCTACTTCCCGCTGTGACAGTCACATTTCCGAAAGCACGCATGCGCACTGCGTGGCGTCAGGAAAAGTTGAAAGGCGTCTGAAACCCAGGGAGAGGCAGGGAGAGGCCGACAAAAAGTCAGAGAGAAATATCGCCGCGCAAAATATCGGTTTGTGGTTGACCATTTTGCGTTGCGTCGAATAAGTTGTAAGTATATACGTATCTCTGGTTACTATATAATTGCTGATTTGTACAAGTTAAACATTACTTAAGACGCTAATGCGGTCCTCTGATTGGTTCGTGACTTCTTAAGACGATCTTGAATATAAGAACTGACTATGAATACCGGCCATAGTCGGTTCTTATTTTAAGACCGTCTTAAGTAATGTCTTAACCCTGATGAAAATAAAAATCAGAGCGTAAATTGGATGTAACGGAAGGGTAACACAAAGCGTAAACGAAACTTCTAGAAGGCGAAAATTGGAATAACGAAATGTAAAAGAAGCGTAAATGCTTCTTTTACATTTCGTTGTTCCAATTTTTGCCTTCTAGAAGTTTCGTTTACGCTTCTGTTACTCTCCCATTACATTCGACTTATGCTCCGATATTTATTTTCATCAGGGAAGTCGCTAATGCGTCCCTCTGATTGATTCATGACATCTTAAGATTGTACTTAAGACGATCTTAAATATAAGATCTGACTACGAATATCGGCCATAATGATATTATATGACATTATTATGATATATTTGATATTTGAATTTACAATGATAAATAAGATCACGATAATGCCCTCTGATATTATTACGACTTTTATGCTTTATTTGAGAATTTTATCTTTTTCTTTCCTTATATGGTACTATTAAATTTTTACTAGTACTAGTATTAACTGACCAATTATGTATTTTAAGTATTAAAAGTACTGTTAAATACTTTTAATACTCAAAATAAATAATTAATTTGCCAGTATTACTATTAAATTTTTATAAGGGTTACTGTTTTCTAATTTCTTTGCTCGTTTTTTACATACAGGAAGATACATTGCTACGAGAAGGTATCTGACAACGTGACAGCGTGGCGTTTGACGCAACATCAAAAAAGGCGGGAAAACATTGAGGGCATTTCGCGCCGGTAGATTTGCGCCTGCGCAGGCTGCTATATTGTTCGCGTCGCGTCGCGTCGCGTTGCGTTGCGTTGCGTTCAATTCCTACCGAGATATGTAGCGATTCCACAATTTTTGTGCGATTTTTTCGTCAAGAGCAAGCGTCAGATACTGCGTATAAATTCGTGTTGGGAATGTCGAATGAGATCAGACGATCTTTATATCACGTAATTATTATCGTCGTATCTTGAACATAACAAGCCTTTCATAACGAACAGATCAATTCGGCTGGCGCCAAGAATTTTTCGGAAGACGGTGAATGAATCTGCTTATTACTACGAATGAATGTTTGTTATGGATGAGTATTTGCGGCAATGACCATTGTCCTCGCTCGCGTCGCCTTATTATAGATATTTGCCCTGATGAAAATAAAAATCGGAGTGTAAGTCGAATGTAATAGGAGAGTAACAGAAGCGTAAATGAAACTTCTAGAAGGCGAAAATTGGAACAACGAAATGTAAAAGAAGCATTTACGCTTTTTTTTACATTTTGATATTTCAATATTCGCCTTCTAGAAGTTTCGTTTATGTTCTGTTAGGGGTTCCACACAATAAAAGAAACATAGGTTGAAATTCTTATTCTCTGTTCCCTGTTCCTTTTATTGTGCGGAGCCCCTTTTACTCTCCCATTATATCCGATTTACGCTTCGATTTTTATTTTCATCAGGGTGGCCGGTATCAATCATGAAACTTTATCCCTAAGATGGAAAGTGAAAAGTGAAAATTTTAACCATTGAAGTTAATCGAGAAATTTTTCACTTTTTATTCTAGGAAAAAAGTTTCATGATTGATACCCTGCTAATAAAATATCAAATGTTTGCATATATACATATATATGTATATATGTATGAACATGTAGATTTCGATGTAGATGTGAACGCGCATATTCGTATATAATTTTCCGAGGTCAAGTCGATTGCATTGTATCTTGAAACGAGATGAAAATTACAAAAGTAAACAAATTTACTAGAATATTTATAATATCATTGATCAACACCCATGTAATTTTGTGCTTGTTACAAAATTAGGTGTACGCACTCACCGATTAAAAGGGTACAACAGATTTTTTTTCTATGGTTTTTGGAATGCAGCCTACTCACCGAGCGATTGGTTTTTACTTACGGATCCGTAAATAAGAACCAATCGCTCGATGAGCAGACTGTATTTCGAAATCCATTTAAAAAAAAGTTGCAACCTTTTAGTCGGTGAGTGTAAATACACATAATACTGTGGAGTACTGGAGTGATTACGAATAATTGACGTGCAGTCGCATTTCTCTTTTTTCAAAGTACTCGTCGGGTAAATATAAAAGATCTTAGTTTATAAAAGATCTGTTTTTTATTGCTGCATTCCGAACTGATACAATAAGTTGAAGTGAAATAAACGTATATTTGTTTCACTTCAACTTATTGCACTGTGTGTACTAATTCAGAAAGTGCAGCAATAAAAAAACACCTAAACATTTTTTCGAGACGTGTCGATGCGCGGATAAGTTCCTTGGACGAATTTCGAATTAACCTTCTGAAGATCTGTTCTTGCTGTTCGGCCGGTAAAAAACCGTGCGACTGGCAGCGCCACTTATCTCGGTGCTTCTAAATTCAAGGCATTCAAGAAATGGCGACAACCATGGAGATAGACGATGACGAGTGTGATCTGCCGACCTCCAGCAGCGGAAAAGGCGAAAAGAAGCGTTTTGAAGTGAAAAAGGTAAGTGTCGACATGTGCATATAGATCATGTATAATCGATTTTGCTTGCAGTCGCCGCGTGAAAACATAATTTCTAACCTCACTTACGCAGTACGCTTTGTCATTCTGCTCGTCTTTATGGCACAATCCTGTTGTCTTTTCATTGTTTACTAAAGTCCGATAGCACCAACGTTATTTTAACTTTAAGCGAGGCTTAAACTCTCCCTCTATCTCTCTGTTGATTTCAAAAAGAAAAAGAGAGTTTAAACTCTCGCTTAAAGTTGGAGTAATGTTTATGCAATTAGGCCTCCTAAATCTAATTATGTCTGTTTCAGTGGAACGCAGTGGCATTATGGGCCTGGGGTAAGAACTAGCGAGCATTACTACTATACAGCCTTCAAAGTATATCATAATAGTAAGCACAGTAACAGACTTTCTAATGTAATTTCTTACATCTTTCAGATATTGTTGTGGATAATTGCGCTATTTGCCGTAATCACATTATGGATCTGTGTATCGAATGTCAAGCAAACCAGGCCTCTGCGACTAGTGAGGAGTGCACGGTAGCCTGGGGTGTATGTAATGTAGGTTTACAATATTTTGAGATATTAGGATTATCAAATTTCTACTTGAACCTTATTGTAACTGTATCTTTGTTCTTAGCACGCCTTTCATTTTCACTGTATTTCACGTTGGCTAAAAACACGACAGGTCTGTCCACTTGATAATCGCGAATGGGAGTTTCAGAAGTGAGTAGAGCTTTGTTTAATATGTATAAATTTTGTTACATGTATATATTATTTTTGTCAAATTTTTTTTTGTATAAAGTTAAAAATATTGATATGTTAAATTTAAATATGAGTAGATATCTTTAATATAAAAAAAGTTTAAACCTGTTTTTTTAGTTTGTAAAATTTTCAATAAAAAATTTTAACTTAATTTTTTAATGTTTTAATTTTTTATATAATTCTCTAAATATATATATATGTATAATGATTTTATCATTTCTGTTTACAGATATGGTCATTAATCGGATGTATTCACTACATACAAGTCAGATTTTTCTTTGTTATTCAGCCATTGATACTCGAGACATTTAAAACTGAAAAATTATTTTTCCATATGGAAAATAGAATCTTTACAGAAAAATGACAAATGTATAAATGAAGAGGAAAGTGTATGGCAAGAGTATAATCGAATATATCATTTTTTATGTTAATAGCAGACTAAATTTCAGGCACTGGTTGTAAGGCTAATTCAGATCATAATAATCGTTAAATTATATTAAATATATAATTCATAGATTGTAAGTCTCTTATCTAATAAATAATGATTATGGCACGCTTCTGATGATTTATCAACATTATTTCTGACCATTTTTTAAATAGCAATCTCGATGAATCTTGTAATATTGCAAAATAATAAATCTATTAAAGCAAATAATTCTTAACATTTTTGATTAAAAATATAGGTACGTTTTTAAATACTATTGCGTTTTGTCATTGTATTCATCATTTCCTTTTTTTTTATTTAATCGTAACTTTGATTAATTCGATCTTTTAAAGATTTCACCTAGCAAAAAATTCCGTCCTGTTTTACCGCTGCACAAATATGAAGGGAATGTGAGGTGAAAGCGGTACTCTCTTTTTATCTTTAAATTACATCCTACTCCCACCACACATTCCTCTTCATCCGATAGCTTTAATTCTAATGCGAATCGCTTTGAAAAGAATTCTCATCAATTTTTTGTGCGAATCAAAGAATATATTTTGCATGTTAAATTTATTATCCTTAATTATTCATGACTTTGTTTAAACGAGATATCACAACGTTTATAATGTGGTTCGCCTTAAGATGTATTAATAGCAATGACATTTATTTAACACAGTTCGGTATAATAGATCTTCATTACGCTCAAGGCGATTCCGCAAATCCGCTTCTATGCGGATACGTAGCTCCTTAACAAGATATAACGGGCATCCATCGTCGTTCATGACGTCATGTCGTAAGACCGATCGATCGTACCAAGATCATCTCTCGAATCCCTTTTCCAGTTCTAGGGCATTCAGCAGGAGACTGGCACAAGGCAGGCAATACTTATCAGGCGGGTGGAACCGGGGGTAGCCCCTACGAGTCGGCTTCTAATCTCGGCATACAGCGAAAATTACATCTCGCAGGATAGCCGAGGAGGGAGAATCAGTCGACATCCGCCTAGAGAGAGCAACGGTAAGCTTCTTCCACCTTGATTCTCTGCAGTCTGGTTCTAGATCCTGCTGCCTTATTCGCGCGCGAGATAGAAACAAAAAAAAAACTAAAATAAAAAGAGAGAAAAGGAGCAGTCCGCACCTGTTCTAAGAGAACTTATGAATAGTCAGGCAAGGGAAGGGAACTAGAGGGGCGAGATCACCCTTAGTTCAAATCCCCTCGAAGAAGGCGCGCACTTAACGGGAAGAACCCGTGGGTGGTCCGGTCGATCGGTTGATCGGATCATTGAACGGATTTTATATTACTTTATGTCAGAGTTCGAATTAATTTGCGTTCGTAATGAGAAATAAAATGCGCCTGTCTACGAATGGACGTTTCGAGAGATCCAGCAATATTTCCGTGAGCATCGTGTCGCAAAATTATCCATTAGAAGTAATTTTAACCGCTCGAATTCTTCGAATGTTAAAAAGATACAACAGAAAAATGTAGACAAAAGAAAAGTAAATAGTCAAATATAAAATGTGTAATATTATCGAGATAATTACAATAGTTTTAATTCAAGATTAAAGATTTTTATTTGTAAATATCCTCGTTATTGCATTTTCTAAGATACATACCTGTATCACTATAAATAATTATTAACTTGATACATCTCCATCAATCATATACAACATGAGAAGCATTCGACCAGATCCGGAGTATCTATAAATAACTGCAACTGTATGAATTAATGAGTTTGTAATAAAAGTCGTTCTTTATATTACGATGGCATTAAAACTTACTTCTTTTGCTCAGAATATTTAATCTACTTTTTAATCTTAAACTCACTATTTTAATTTTTAATCCCGGACGTAAACTACTCTACGTAACACACCTCTCTTGTAATTAGTAAACCGAAGTAGTCTCTGAGCTTACCGGTTCAATTCTTTCTTGTTGCCATGCTCGAAATTTGCGAGTATAAAAATATCTAAGCACGGTCAGGTCGACATGTCGAGAGTAGCGTCGCGACGAGAGCGTCGATTTTTCGGCGTCGTGGAACTCGCTTGTCATAGCTCGTAGCGGCAGGTGCGTACACTTGCTCGTAATATTTACCTGGGCGCGCGAGAGATGGGATATAAATATGATTTTCTTCCTCGACGACGACAGCGAGGAAGGGTGATGAGAAGGGTAGGAAGATGGGAGAGTAGGTCGCTGACGCGGGGCGACAAGGGGTAGTAGCAAGGGCCTCATTTCCGGCGGAAACAGAGGTTCTCTCGCCCTCCCCCCTGATAAAAGCCACCCCGCTCTTCTCACCCTCGTCAGAGTCCAACGGTGGTCGTGGTAGCGACGACGGAGGCGGCAAAGGCCAATCGAATTAAATACATTCCCCCGCAGTGGATCCAATCCGACGACGGTGCCTTCGCGATTTTTGTCTCGCGGTTCGTCCGCTCCGACGCGCGCCGGCCGTTCCTTTTTTTTTTGCTTCCTCTTAAATCTTAGTGTAAATCTACTTTTCAGAGGTAAATTTACTCTGGAAAGCCGGTTAAAGCTGTTAAGCTGTCGTCACTGTGTTACACCTGAAGCTCGAGTCGCCGAAATCCTTTGAGTTTCGTCGTTATTGCCGTAACTACGCTTTTTGATATCTTTACATTGAAATAGTCGAGTTCTCTTTTGATTTCACATATTCGCTGTTGAAACAGGAGACAGTGCAAAATATTCTATATATTGTCAGAATTTTTTCGCTTGATATTAAAAATATATTTTCATACATTATATTTAATTATATATGTTAATTATATATGCGAAGATTGTAAGAGATTCTCAAAGAACTAATTATATGAAAAATTAAGTCCTGATGAAACGAATTAGTTTTTACAGCTCATAACTTAAATTATAATTTATAATATCGTGAACAAAAAAATGTCATAGATAATAAGGCTCAGTAATGGATAGACTTTATCGAAGATAAAACTGCTCGCAAAGTATTTTTAATACACCATAATTAAAGAACTATTTATTAGATCTAGTTTTTATAGCTAAATGGAGTACTTTTTGTACTTAAATTGAAATAGGTACATATATGTTTAATGTATGACAAAAGTGAGAAGAAAAATTTTAAAGCAGTTTAGTACAGTAATAAAAAACAAACTATTATATTGAGTTTATAACATTCTTTTGTTCACCACATTATAAGCTACGTCATGTTATAGGCGAAAATTAAAACTCATTTTATCGGAACCTAATTTTTCATACAAAATTAGCCCGAGAGTCTCTTCTTACAATTAGTATTTTTTTAGCTTAACATGTCATTATCGTTATCTTTTTACTTATATTCTTGAATAGGAATTTGACATTTTTTTTCTAATAATACATTATTTTTTATCGAGGAAGCGATGAATAATATGATAAGTGTGATTGGACAAGATTTATCTGTCCAATCACACTTATCATATTATCCAACGTTTATACATTTACTTAACAAATGAAACTGACAGTTTTTCAATAATTTCCGTTACATATATTCACCGTATTTGAGTAGCCGCGATTATCGTGAGAGTCAGGAATTTTTCAGCGTTCTGCGTTGTATTATTTAAAAAGCAGCGTCCTCGGTGGCTGCGCGAAGCCATCCATTATCCGTAGTCCCGATAAATCCCGTCGAGGTGTTCGGGCCCCTTGTGTTTGGCGGATATATCAAGGCTTCTTTCGTCTCGTCGCTCCGCGCCAGGTCGCGATCGCCGTCGTCCTTTTCTACTTGTTCCTCTTCGCGCTGCAGACTTTCGAATCAGCCAAGATTGTCGATGCAACTCAGGGATGAGTGCGCCGATAAATCGAGAGATTTTCCTTCGGTCATACGATATTTTCAAACGTTGATTTCGAAAATCATATAATTAAATGAAATAAATAATAAAAAATTGAAAGAGCGATATGTAAATAAGTAGATAAATAGACACGTCATATTCTGAGTAGACATCTCTAAAAATAATGTAGAGCTCGTTATAAAAGAATTATAAATAATTGAATATAATTGAATAATTAATGAATAATAATAATTAATGCTTTGGCGTTAATTCACGAACATTACCATTTTGTCTTTCGTGTTTTGCTTCGGGAAAGTGGAATATGAAGAAAAATAGCTAAATTCATATATTCTTTTATTTTTATTATAATTACTTCTTTCAAATTCCTTATCGGAGAGAACTGTAACAGTTTGACTGTAATAGTTTGAATTTTAAAATTAAGAATTTTCGCAACGCCACTATTTTTCCGAGATGAAGACTCGGAGGGCACCTCGTCGCGGATTAATTTTCGCGAATATAGCGGTGAGGTTGATTTGATTTAAATCTGTCCGCGAGCGCGTACCTAAATTGGTTCCTGCGGGAGACAGCGTCGTTGCTTTATCCTTACGACTTCTGCCGGAACCGAGATACCACGTTTTTCCCCAGCATCGAGAGATCTTCACACCGATGCTGGGTTGGTAATGGTGGTGACTGCCGAGAACGGGTGGTTGTAACAGCGGTAAATCCTCGTTAGATGCGCGAGAAAAACAAAGGGCGCCGACCTACTCGGTGATATTCTTTCCCTCTCTCTAGGTTTCTTACAGCGCGAAAGGGTTGTCTGGCCTGCTTGCTTCCTGGTCTCTTCTCTCTCTTCGCTTTCTTGTAGTGAATTTCCGGTTGCCGTCGCTAGCTTTCTTCCCTTTAATATATCTCTTATATAAACATTATATTATATATTGCTGCATTGTTAACAAAGAAATATCAAAATTACGAAATTTATTTTCCTCGTGTCGTATAGAAGAAGTTAATTGTGTTTATATTTTTTTGTTATTAATTTTCGCTGCTTATCATTAACTAATTTCATCTTTTTTATTTCTTATTTATTGGTATAATAATACTGATAAGTTGATTAATAGCAACTTTTGTTTATCACATAAAATTATTTTAAGCATTTCTATCTCTTAATAAAAGTTTAAATAGTTAATTACTACAATTATAAAGAATTATTAAATTTAATATTTATTTGAGAAATTAAATCTATTTTAGAAATCTTAATTGGAAAACTATGGAAATTAATTAATTAATTATTACTTTTATTGATTTTTATATTTCCTGAGAGGAATAAAATTGTGTGATTCTCATCAATCAAGCAAACGATATTAAGTTGCTGCATCTTTTTG